CACGCTACTGTAAGCAACACTAATGAAACACATTGGGTCACACACACACACACACACACACACACACACACATACACACACAAGAAACAAAGTAGAAGAGGGACTAGTAGGAAGAGGAAAGAAATTAGTGGGAGGAGGATAAAAGGGCTTAACGGGAGGTTCTTACACACACTGTTCAATATGACTTTGATATTCAACAGTGCTCATCTACAAATACATTATATCTGCATATCTGCTTAACGCCACTCTATAAATCCTTTGATGTACATGCAGTGTTTAAATTACATACATAAAAATGTCATAACGAAGCCCATTATTACCTACAATTAATATGTTAAGACATTAAAAATAAATGGTTTCAAACCATTTAACCAGAAAGGTAATTTAAATGAGCAAATATTATTTATGCACAGTTTTACAGCTGCAATTCTTTTAGATTTTAAGTTTGTGTCTGTTTAGTGCCTGCAAGTCTCCCTAGGGCTGGAAATGCTGGGAACTGTCTGTGCTCTTGGGCGCCGAGCCATTCTGCGGCGCAACAGGGATTCTTGAAATGAATCTCGTCAACACACAGTATTAGCCCATGGAAGTAAAGCTATGCAAATTCTCGGGAATATCAGCTATCAATACAGGGCACGAAGTGAGAACGCGCGCTTTTCCCGTTAGCGTGCATTTCCTGTGTGTGTCTGTGGACTCACGTACGTCTGGGGGTGCGCGCGGAGGACCAGAACAACTCGCGGGATTTGGGTTCTGGGGATGGAACCCTGGTCCCACCGCCGCGCCTCGCCACCCGCCCGCCACCCGCCCGCAGGGTGGCTGCACGTGCAAACTGACCTTGAAGTAGCTGGAGTCCCCTCCCGCCGTCTGCGGCTTCACGGCCGACACCTGGCTGCTGCTCAGTCTCGGGGGCACGAAGAGCGTGAAGGGCTTCTGCTTCTCCATGACGTCGTCCGCGTGGGTCTCCCCGGCCTGGGGGGGAGGAGGAGGGGGCGGCGGGAAGAGCGCACAAGGCATGGTGAGCAAGGCCGCCGCCGCCGCCGCTGCCGCCGCCGCA